TTCCGCGGAGCCAGCGAGTCATCGGAGCCGAAACTCGGCGGGTCTCCCTTTCGCTCCAAGTTCAGTGACTCGTGGCCTAAACAAGCGCCACATGCCAATTTATAATTTGTAATTCAAGACAAAACTCCCAACCCACCTTCATAAACGGAACCCAGCTTCTTTCCTCCGTTTCAACAGCCGCGATGTGTGACTCGGTGCAAGAGCTATTCTGCCGTACACAGAAAAAACGCCGTATAAACTTTTAGGCGCTGCCAAATTTCCTCCAATAGCAAACAAATTCACTGGAAAAAAAACCACATTGGATCGAGAGTCCAGACTCTTGAAAACATTGACAAGAAATAATACTCTTGATTCAATCAGATTTAAGTTTAAATCAGAAGGAAACCCGCTCAAATTAAGAGGCTTGGTTCTTGATTTAAGCAAAAATCCGATCGAATCAAGAGTATTTTTTCTTGTCGATGTTTTTAAGAGTCTGGACTCTAGATCCAATGTGTTTTTTTTCCAGTGTTTACCGGGAAAATTGTGAATATTTTTCTTGAATTGTTTCAGACGATTTTTTTTGGCAATTGAATCTGAAATATGTGAAAATCGCGAAGAAAAATCTGGTCGTATTTCTTCGAAAATAACATGTGATTTGGGGAGGTTTGGCAACATCTGCAGACTCATCCGGCGTTTTTCCTTAGCGCGGCAGTATTGAAGAATACTGGAGGCACTCGTAGTTTCCGTCGAGGAGTTTCCGGCCGCGAAGTCGCGTCGCATTGAGTCGTCTCGCGTTTTTAACGGGTTCCAACTCAAGCCCCTGCCTTTTCTTGTAAAATTATATTACTCATCCCGCATCCTTCTCACGGGCGTAAAGGTAGTCATTCTCTCACATTCGGCAACCACGGAGAAGTGTCTCCGTTCCTATTTCAAAATTTGCCTAATTTATATTGGTCATAACGAAGGGTTTCAACGAGCATCGTTGCCAGGTAGCCCAGAACTATCAGCTCTTGTCCCCTATTCTGCCACACTGGAAAAAAAAAAAACACATTGGATCTGGAGTCCAGACTCTTAAAAACATCGACAAGAAGAAGTACTCTTGACTCAATCAGAATCCAGCTTAAATCAAGAACCAAGCCTCTTAATTTAAGCGGATTTCGTTTTGATTCAAGCAAAAATCCGATTGAATCAAGAGTATTTTTTCTTGTCAATGTTTTCAAGAGTCTGGACTCTAGATCCAATGTGGTTATTTTCCAGTGCAAGATATAGCGATAAGACAAGGTGTCTAGCATCAGGATTTTCCCGATTTTCGTGATTCTCTCTGGATTTGAGGTCAATCAGAATTTAATCCCGATTTCATCAGGATTTGAGGAAAAATCGGTCGTAAAATCAGGATTTGAGAAAAGTCGGCTGTCCGATCGGATTTTTTTCTGCTTTCGCATACGCTTAGGCAGGAATTTTGATTTTTTTTGGGAAAAATCATGAAACCAGGATTTAGCAGCTAAAAATCAGGATTTCCCACAATGAAAAAAAAAAAAAACTAGACACCCTGTAAAGAGTTTCAAAAAGAGCGAGAGACTTTCAAAGCTTTGAAAGAGTCGAGTTGCCTTCAAAATTCGTCTGATTTAAACATGAAATCGCTGATGCTGCTAAAACAGCAAATATCTTCTATGTTTTAAAACGGGGCATATAATACGGGGGGTTTTCGCAAGACTTCATCTTTGCACTTACGGCTCCCTTCGCTATCGCGGCAGCATTTAAACCCATGTGAAAAATCCATATTTTATTCCTTAGCCTGGCAACCTCGTCGAGGAGGCCTCACGAAAATTCAATGTCTTGTGTCCTGCATATCCACCCTCTCCATCCTGAGATTTCTAGCACCAATACGGGATGTGGCGCTGCGTGCCCGGATTTTAAGAGGGAACCCGCTTCCCGAAGTTGCCAGGTTTTGTGATAAAATGTGGATATTTAACTCCGTTTATCCGAAACTTTGTGGTTCTGAAAGTGGTTCCATTGGTTTCCTCGTGAAGTTTTTTCTCGAAGCATCCCTTAAACTTTAAAATTTGACGAAATTAACATCATATTTTGCAGTTATGGTCAAAAATTTAATGCTTGACCTCTCTAATTGACTCGATCCACTGCGCGCCGCCCCGCCAAAGGGGCGCTTTCAATCCAGCAATTAGTAATCGTTGGATCGACTATCGAATCTAGTGGGCATTGGAGTACCTTTATAGACAGAGTATGGCCATTTCTGTTCCGGTTTTTCATTGGTCGCGAGCGAATAGGCTGACACGATGCTCTTAGGGCCGTAAATAAACAAACAAGATGGCCGTTATCAGCAAGCAAGATTGAGGTTATGCACATCTTACATCCTCCCGTGATAAAGGTGAAAGGCAATTTAACAATGTTTTCATGTGTTTTTCGTGTGCTATTCGTAGATATGCTCGCTTAAATTGTTACTGCCGCATAATTGAAATTTTTGTCAAATTTAGCTTCTCATCGATGTTACGGTGAGCCGCCATCTTGTTTGTTTATTTACGGCTCCAAGAGCATCATGAAGCCTAAAAACTCGTTGACCAATCAAAAAGCGGAACAGTTCTCCTGTAGTAAAAAGATACGAATGACCATACTCTGTCTATAAAGGTACTCTAGTGGGCATGCTTTGCGATTTAACCATTTAAACCATTAAACCTCTACCATTTAAACCTAAGAAAAAGGATTGATAAACAGGGTGTTCGCAACAAACCCCTTAATAATCGATTCTCTACCACAATTTCAAACGGGGAAATATCGATAATTGATCATTCACGCCTCGTCACTGATTGAATCGTGCTATGAAGTTCTGAGGGAGGATCCACCCTAAGAAAGGGTCCAAAACCTCTAATTTTTTTAAAACAAATCGTATACCTTTTTGTGTTTTTTCTCCGTGTATCGGTAAAAACAAGAACTGAAGAAAAAAAAAAGAAAAACAACCCAGTTACTCACTCATAGCTTGAAGGTCAAAGCAAGCTGCGAATCGAGATTCTTTATCATCGTTTGAGAAATTGTCCCTCATGTTTTTGAATCACTCAGATATATGGTCCCCCGGGTGTTAAGTACCTGTCCTTTCCGCAGCGCCCTCTACGAATGGAGCGGAACTCTGCCCTGCCGTGCTGAGGAAAAACGCAGTATAAGCATTAATGAGTTGCCAAATTTCCTCCAATATAATGCCTATAATTTTTAGGAACTTAACGTGAAATTGCGAACCAAATTATCTGATGAATTGGTAGAAAAATATCCATTGATTAACCAGGAAATCCTCGTCTTATCGAAGGGAATTTGGCAACACCTGGAGGCTCGTAAGGCGTTTTACTGCTTGGAGCTATCGAGGACCGATCTGCCGTGCCAAGGAAGAACACCGTATGAGCCTTCGGGCGTTGCCAAGTTTCTTCTGATAAAAACTGAATTTACTGGGAAAATTATTTTCCAAAAATTTCTGACAATTTCATGCGCAATTCAATCCAAAATATCTGAAAATTTCAAGGAGAAATAGGTATCCATGGATGTTGTCAAAAATACATGTTTTACAGGGTGTCGAGCGTCAGGATTTTCCTGATTTTCTCGATTCTATCAGGTTTTGAGTTCAGTCAGGATTTAATCCCAATTTAATCAGGGTTTGAGGAAAAATTGGTCGTAATTTTAGGATTTGAGGAAAGTCGGCCGTCCGCTTATATTCCGTTAATTATCCGTTATCCGTCCGTTAATTTTTCTCCGCAAAAAATCAGGATTTGATCAGGATTCGGAAAAATGATGAAATCAGGATTTAGCAGTCAAAAATCAGGATTTCATCAGGATTTCCCGAAATGAAAAAAACTAGACACCCTGTATTTATTAAGGGCTATATGGCAACTCTCGAATGTTCATACGGCGTTCTTCCTTAGCAGGGCAGCGATGAAGAGGTGCGGGTGTTATGTCTCTTCTCTCCCATCACCTTCAAGAATCACGGCGTTTTGCGTCAGTTCCGCTCCTGGGTTTAGGATTCCTGATCATCCGTCTTGTCCGAATAGATGCGTCTCTAAAACGCCGAGTATTATTTAAAATAGTTTCACTTACATATCCTTTGCATTATTCATCCATTCTCTCAAGTTCAATGAATCTTACGCATTAATCTGGGTCTGAAAATGAATGTTGCATCCAATTTCCCCGATTTCCCCTCACTCCGTCATCACTTGTTATTACAGGATCCTGTTCAAATTGAAAGGTATACAGGGTGTCCCGAGATAATCGCACTTAACTTTCAGGATCGATTTTTCGCCTCAAAATATGACTTTTTCCGAAACATGTATACCCGAAAACGCTTCATAAGTGAACTTTGCGCCTCTAAAGTTGCCATTTTTCTTCTTTTAAATTGATTTAACTCCTCGTTTTTGTGTTGTAAGTAGCTGAAACTTTGCGTAGGGGGGTATTTTTAGCGTGCTATTCATTTTTCGTGTTTTGAGGACGTGCGTTTTCGGAAAATGACGTCACGAGCGTTCCCGAATTCTAAAATTGCTGTACATTTTTTGGTAGATGATTTTTGGAAAAACGGACTACGGCACGTGAAAAGGTGCGAAAAATCAAGCAGAGCAGGCATGTACAAAATTTTCCAGAAACGCGTCATTTCGATACAACAGAGCTTTGAAAAAGTCTCAGCTTTTCGAAACTCCTTGCTGGGTAGGCAATTTTTACTGCAAGGCAGCATAGCGCATAGCTCACTTACGGAGCGTTTTCAGGCACATAGGTGTAGGAAAAAAAGTCATATTTTGAGCCGAAAAATCGATCCTGAAAGTTAAGTGCGTTAACTTCCAAACACCCTGTATATCCATATGCTCTAATCCTCCCCCTCTCTCTCTGTCCTGGATATGCGTACAAGATCCCCCAGAAGTCTCGCGGCAGATATTGCAATATGATTGATATATCCTGGAGAATTGAGGGGATATTCTTCTTAGATTAAGGGAAGAAGGAATGTTCAAACCACTTCACGAGTCAAATTTTTGTTTCAGTTGTCGCTGGCAATCAAGGGATTCCGGATGCTCTCCAAAAATGTCACTCCCTGTCAAGAGAGTTGCAGCAAAACCAAACTGATCTCCGCAATAGATTTAATATTCTCTCTGCACAACTGGCCAATTTCAGCAAACAGGTACCATTTGCCTTCTTTTTCTTGAAGTATCAAATTTGTCTTCATATCTTAATAAGAAATCACCATTTCTGGCTGAATAAAAGCACTTATCTACGTAGAGAAACAGGATGGTAAAATAGTGCTGGATGCTGGATGCTGGATCTACAGATTCCTAAAGGGTATTCAAGTCTGGAATAGCAAAAATTAGAATTTGAGTCGCGTAATGAGTTTCAGAGCAAGCTATGGTGTCTAGGACCCTGAAAATCCGGAATGCATCAAGATGAAACGTTTTAGGGAAAATCTGGGAATAACCGGGGATCTGGCTCCAAAAACCGAGAATCTTCTCTTTACCGTATAGAGACCCAAATTCGACTGCCATTATTGACCTCTTGAATGACCTATTGGAATCTTTAATTCACCAGAATAAGGGAGAGGCTTTCACTGACTAGGTAATATTAGCATCTGCAGCCAGATTGTTGAAACTTTGTGTTTGTCGGGTGGGCATAGATGACATAGGTAAAATGGCAAAGCCTGATTGGTCGGCTATGTCTTATCGCTGCTTTGCCCGTGCTTTGTTGGTTGGAATGGACGACAAACTAAAGGCACCTCTTGAGTATCCGACAGTCCGTCGTCCACTCCACCCGACAAAGCAACGATAAGACATAGTCAACCAATCACGCTTCGCAATTTAACCTATGTCATCCATTTCCACCCGATAAACACAAAATTTCAACAATCAGGCTGCAGGACCACTTATGGAGTTGAAAATTTGACTGTGCGCCAAAGAATTGACTGAAAGAAAATAAAATCGATTTTTGTGTCCGGAACTCTGGGAAAGTATGTAGTTTTTCTCAAGAAAATCTTTGAGAAGTCGGAGAAAACACAGATTTCTCAGCAGGGAATGAGCTCCTAAAAATCAGGGACAAATTAATTCGGAATGATTTTTCCCTTGTTTGGTAAATAATTCTAGACACCATGTGTAAGGTTAAATGGGAGTGTTCAGCTCAGGAAGGTACATCGGAATATTTTGCTGGATTCCTGCTGAGAGATCTGTACAACAAATATTTTCATTCTTTTTGAGCTCGTCAGCAGATCAAGATCATTTATAGAGCCCAGCTTACAAGTATGTAGTATACAGCAAATCCTAGGCAATTTTAAAATGTTATTACAGGTACGTAGTGAGGCATGGCATTGAAGTACAATCCTCGCACCATCTGCCACTCCTATTAAACAATACAAGGAAAGGACCTGAAAAATGTATTATCCTCCCCCTCCCCCTGAAAATTTGCAACTACCCTACCTGGAAGTGGGGAAACTACAGTGAAATACATCAGGAAAACATACCTGATGGAACGAAAATTATTCAAGGGGCCGACTTTTTTTTTGGTGAAAAATGTGTTTTTTATGCTTCAAAAAACCGATAGGTCTGCAAAAAAAAGAAATTTATCTATGATGGTTGATTCTTATGTAATTTTTAGCGCATAGGTGGAGGAAGACCTCAGTATTTCTTCAATTTTTCGAAAAATTGAGAATTTTTCCTTTAGATTTGGGTTCTTAAAGGAAAATTCTGTTTTCCCGGATCTTGGTGCCTGGTAGGGAAAAACCAGATCACTTTATGACACAACTTTTCAAAATGTAATGGAAAATGTGTATCCTATGTCCACAGTGTCCGCGGTTGTTTTTTTAAAAGTGGGTGATGGGAAAAAAGCAATGCAATTGTAGACTTAAGCAGCAAAAACCAAGTGAATCTTGGTCCATTTGACTTGCGATTAAAATGATTTTTTCCTCGTTTCAGATGCAAAACAAGCAGATCAGTCTTAAATGGGGGTGAATAGGCTGATTATGTTATTTACCTCGAAAACCTCCGTAGCAAACATAATGAGGAAAATTTTGTGGACGTATGATGCATGCTATTCTTTGTATCTTGGAATTCTAAGTCTGAAAATGACCTCGGCTTGTCTCTAGCATGTACCAGTTTCTCGGAAAATTGAATTTTCCTCGGAAAAGCCTGCTTTGTAGGAAAATCTCAATTTGCCAAATATAGTGGGTGGGTATAGATAAAAGATTGAGGTATTTTCTCACCGTATCAATCATTTTTGCTTTTGAAACTTTTTGCTTTTGAAACTGTTTGTTTTATCATTATTAATTTAGCCATTAAGTTATATAAAGTCTTGTGAAAAATTGCCAAACATAACATGTTAATGTGTTATCGCTCTCTCTCTAATTCAAGATGACAACCATAGGAAATGGCCTATTTGATGTGGAACAAAGGTTAAGGTCTTCTCCCGAGTTAGTCAATGTGCCTAAAATATTGGAAGATGTCGCATCATTAGGAAGTAAAGTAAATGATTATGTTACCACCACGGACCAACTAAAACAAACAACTCAAAATCTAGAGAAAGCTCAACATATTATAGAATCTAATATCACCGCACTTAAGGTAAGAACAAATAATTTATTTTTATTTTTATCGGATGTGCTATCATGGTCAAACAGAAAGGGTTCATTCAGTTTCAATTTCCTCAATAATGAGTGTTGACACTACATCATCAGAGTTGTAAGATAAATGCTTAAGGATTTTTGGTGTGCATGTCATCATTGATGCCTAGTTTATGTGCCGTTTGTGTCTAATGCATGGCACACAGACAGTAGCTCAAAATTGGACCAAAAGCCAGGAAGGGTTAATTTCAACATACCTTTGTAAAATCTCAGCAAATTACTCAGTTCTCAACCAAATGAGCTCATCTTGATCTTATCTTAAAACTAATGAGTTGATCTAGAGCTACATGCAGTGACATAAAACTGGACAAACTTACAAACCAAATTGATGTCTTTTATAGTTCTTGAGAAAGAGGGAGATGGATAGTTGTTTTCCAACATTCTTTGTCTAAATACTATGATTCGCTTTGAGAAATTAATTTAAAAAATCCTGACTTAATGCTGATCAATCAAAGCGATTGACTGAGAGATTACACAAAAAAGTTAAAAAAATGGATGAACTCAATTAAGATACCTTTTTACCTTTTGTTTTAAATAATTTGTTTCAGCAAAACTTAACAACTATCAGAAGTGCTCCTAATATTTTGACTTCAGAAACTGAAAAACACCAAAATGAAGAAAAAGAAAAAGTACTTAATCGAATAAAAAAAGTGGAGGATGACATTAAGGCTGTGAATGAAACACTTTCTGAAAAACTGCAATGGGCTGTCAACGATCAAATCAAAGACCATGTAAGTTACCCCTGGAAAATTGAGGGCAGGTTTTGCTTACCCATTGGAGTGGCGGACTTAGACCCATGTCGGACATTCTTTGCTCCCAAATCCATTTGATTAGTTTGGTTGGACCTGAAAGAAACCTTTCCAAGTCCCAGGTCAATTGAATAATTTTATGAGGTGCTGAGTTGAGCTTGAATTTCAAAATTACCTTGATTTTTCAATTTTAATTGTTTTCATTTTGATTGTACGACTTTACATAGCTTTGCAAATCTACTAAACCTACACATCAATTTTTGTTTTGAGAAAATCAGAAAAAATATTTCAAAATGGACCTTGTAAAAGTCATGAGCAAGAAAGATGACTCAGTTGAACAAATATGTGAGGAAAGAAGAATCTCAGGCATCTTAGTGAGTTTTACTACGAGTCAAAGTATTTTATTTTTCTAAGAGCCTTCAATACCCTTGACATTCTTAGGACGGATCCAATTTGAAGGCATGACCTATCTAATGAATGGTTAGACAGAAAAGCCCTTGCCAACTGCATATCTGTTCTCTTCAATGGACTAGTCATAGGGTTTTCAGAAAACAAGACTAAAAACCACATGTCCTCCTCCATAAAATGGAACCATCACTGGAATCTTAAAAGTTTGAGGAAATGAGTAATTAAGTCTAGATTTTGTATCACGTGAACATGTTTTTGACTATAATGGATCAACTGTCAATTATAGTATTAGTGTCACATTCAAAATTATGATTTTGAAAACATAGCATAAATGACACATTCAACATTAAAGTACCGATATGATGAATGGTAGAATTCCTTTGGTTTTTAAGATAAGTGTACGATTCTTTTCAGAGCGCAATTGAAAACTTACAGACTGTCAGTCAGAATGTCAGTGCACAAGTCACTACGCTTCAAGGTGTCTGTTCATCTCAAGTGCTCAATAATTTGTCTACTTCCGTCCAAAAAATGCAAACTGAGGTAGGTATAATGGTAACTTATTTCAAACACAGTAACAAGGTCCTCTTAGCTGAAAATCTTCGTTGTTTTTGGCTTTGGTTGAATGGTTTTCTATGAAGTTCACGAAAACATGCAAAGTTTTTGGAGAAAGAGGACATTAATGGATATTAAGACAACTCAGTGTTATGGTGCATTGTGAATATGAATACAAGCTTTGTGTAAGAGAAGTGGGCGTCAACATCCGCTGTTTTTACGGTCAATGGCTTTTCAAAATCTTAGTGCCTTGAAGAGTAAATGTATCAGTAGGCCACCAGACAAGGTCACAGTTAGGAAAAAAGGCACACGTTTCCTCTTCAAAGTCTTTGCAGATAATGATGCATGCACAAATTGGAAAGTTTGTGAATCAACTCCTGAATGAGATATTAACAAGTATTTTTAACACAGTTCAAATGGAAGTTACGAGGGTCATCCAAAAAGTAAGTTTCCCTACCTTGTATCCTCCGAACGAAAAGAGGTCAATTAAATCGGTAAAAAGACACATATTAGGCATACTCCAAGCTTTAAAATAAGTCCAAGTTTTTGAAAATCGGTAAAGGGGTTTGCAAGAAAAGTTAATTTTACTGAGACAACCTCCTGTCGCTGCGTGCCCACCTCCCGGATCATCTTACCTTCCTTTTTGACGTAGGCTCCACATATTTTTTGACATTTCTGGTATTGTTACAGCAGCTTCTTGATGCCTTCCGCGTAGAAGCTCTCGCCTTGGCTCCGAAACCATGTCCTTAACAGCGATCTGCACTTTCAAATCAGTTACTTTCCATCGGAAAATTTTCCCCCAATCCTCCATACTCTCTTAACTTAGCTTCATGTGACTTCCATCTGTTCCCGAGCGGAAAAACTTCCACGATGAAAAGCGATTGCTAACCGATTCAGATGTACAAATCGCAGTCAATGATTGGTTTCGGAGCCAAGGCGAGAGCTTCTACGCGGAAGGCATCAAGAAGCTGCTGTAACGATACTAGAAATGTCAAAAAATATGTGGAGCCTACGTTAAAAAGGAAGGTAAGACCTACTCGATGAAAACTTATAAATTCCTTTTTGATATGATGTTTAGAGGTGAATACCCGAGTCTGAAATAATCGACTCTCCGCGCATCCTGATACGGGAGGTGAGCACGCGGTGACAGGAGGTTGTCTCAGTAAAATTAACTTTTCTTGCGAACCCCTTTACCGATTTTCAAAAACTTGGACTTATTTTAAAGCTTAGAGTATGCCTAATATGTGTCTTTTTACCGATTTAATTGATCTCTTTTCGTTCGGAAGATACAAGGTAGGGAAACTTACTTTTTGGATGACCCTCGTAGTTTATACAAATTGTATTTTTTCCATTTAACTACTGTTAATTGTAAAAAATTATATCTAGTTCAGGAGTTGAACTCCAGACTTCCTTTTGTGTGTTTCATTTCTTTTGTGAAGTTTACTTATGTTGTGGAGTGATGTAATCTATACCTTGTCTAGAAGCTCATTATTAATTGCTGAGCTGAATTCTATCATGAAAAATGAAAGGAAAACTAAGAAGTAACTTTCTGAAGCTATCTTGTATAAATGTTTAGGTGTGAGTCTATAATTTGATTTTCTCCTGATCTCAGTTTTTTGCCTCTATTTAATGTTTGAAGCACATTGTGGTTGTATTCTCAGTGATTAAATGTCTCCTTTTTTTCCCCTCAGTTTGTCGGTTCTATGAAGCAGCTAAGCAGCTTAAAATCTCAAGTGGCCCAAATATTAGATAAAGAAAAAATTGCACAAGATCATCGTCCTGTGCTTTCTTCAACTGACACCAGTCAATCTGCTACAACGAATTTAGGTAAACTCTATTAAAGTACAAGGTTTAAAATTCAAACCTGTGTAGAATAAATGAAGAAACCATTTTCTTCAGAAAAACGCATTTTAAATACAAAAACTGAAATTTTTTGTCAAGAGGTAAACCTATTCCCCACTCATGAGGTTTTTTTGGTGTGTAAAACTTTCAAAAATAACAATGCAAAATTTTAAATGCCTAGCATATACGCCTCTCACATCCTGAGGATTTTACAGAAACATTTTTCATGTCTTTTTACCGAGAATCGACTCTCCTATTTTGAGATTGATCTGTTCCTTGTTATTTTTATTGTGCCTATCTGTATCGAAAGCGAGTGAGAGAGACCGTAAAAATCTTAAGGACCTGTTATCTATTCTATTTCATGAAACAAACAGCCATCAGCAAACTTTTCTGACTCGGATATTTCCAAGGTAGCCTTTTTTCAACATTTTAACATTACCGGAGTTTCTGCAAGAGTCAGAGATTCCCAATTGAACTATCTTGAATCATGTGCTTAAATACACCTCAATGGCTGTTCTCTTGCAAATAGACAGCCTCAGCTATTAGCATAACGACTGCCTTGTCAGATGAGTGTTTGAAAGGCAGTGAGTTTGATTCCTTATGTGATAAAGCAACAAGTTTGAATTTCTATCCTTTTAGTAACTTGTTTTTATTCTCTCCCTTTCCCTTTCTTTCCTCCCCTACTCTACATGAACTTCATTCATGTGAGAATATTGTTGGGGCTGGACAAAAAATCTGACTGGTTGGCACTATGACTAATCGAGACTATACTGTACTAATTTTAGCCCTCTTTTTGTCCATAGGTGTATAGTCCAAGAGTAACACAAAATAAGCCACTTCTGCATGGATTTGAATGTGCTCCTCGTCTGATGGAAGTAATTTATTTCACATCTTTCTTCTTGCTAAGAAAATGTATTAACTGAAGATACTACAATAGTTATCTTCTTTTTCCTCAATCAGGTATTTTCAGTTGTTTTAATTTTTATTCGTTTATCTTCAATTTTTATCATTTTTATTGAATTTCTTAGATGATCAATCCTAACAGTTGAGGACACTGCACAAATCGCTTTCATTGGTTCTTCTAATTATCCGCACTTCGGACTATATTGTGATATCAATATAATTTTGATAGGTAATGGCTGGAATTTGAAAAACTTTTTTATCCAAGTTAAGTCAGGTTTCTGGTTGGATAGATGGATGAACAACACATACTTTTAAAGGCTGCTCTTGCATCAATCCATCAACTTGGTATTGTTGTACTAGGTTCGCCAGGAGTTTCATTTTTTAGTACTGCCAGTACACAGTTTCACAACTTTTTCATCAATTTGCTACATTTCTCAAACCGTCAATACTATGATACAATTTTTTATATAGAAATCAACCTAATTTCAATCATTACACTGATTCACTGTAAGTTAAGTAGGAGAGGGAAAGTGCGAATTCCACCTTGGGGGAACATTTTGTTTTACAACATGTGATTCACTGTAACTTAAGAGGGAGAGGGAAGGTGCTAATTTCCCTTGGGGAGAACATTTTTTAACCGGTATCAATATTCTTTCATTTTGCGTTGATCAAGCGTGATTGTAATGATTTTTACTTCATATCAACCAAAATGATTGAATTGTGAAAAAAGGGCCTATAATCTAATCTTTTAAATTAAATATAGTGCAAAACGAAAATTATCACATCTACCCAGCATCTTGCTGTAGAAGGATTTGGTCACAAATAACAGGATATCTACATAGCGGAGTCTTGTGTTGTATATCGTGAACAAAACTTTAAAAAGCGTTTCACTCAAAACGCAGTTTTCATTAATATGCCCTTATTTGTACTGTGTCCTCAATTCAAGAAGAATTTATGCAATTTTGTGATTCCAACTTTAAAATTATTTGAAGTTATTTGATTTATTCAAAACTCAAAAATTAATTTGAAGTATCTGTGACTGTGATTGTAATTCCTGAGGCATAATTTTATGTTTCCCGAATTTCATAGGCTTTACCAACGGATAGTCATGAAACCTCTAACCATTATATTTTACAGTAANTATGCCCTTATTTGTACTGTGTCCTCAATTCAAGAAGAATTTATGCAATTTTGTGATTCCAACTTTAAAATTATTTGAAGTTATTTGATTTATTCAAAACTCAAAAATTAATTTGAAGTATCTGTGACTGTGATTGTAATTCCTGAGGCATAATTTTATGTTTCCCGAATTTCATAGGCTTTACCAACGGATAGTCATGAAACCTCTAACCATTATATTTTATTATTATTTATGACCATGTGTATAATGTTGCTGTCAAAGTCAGTTGTTAACAAGTTGATTGTTAATTTGACCATCCTTCTTTGCATACCATTTCCTCTCTTTTGTTGCTACTCCATCTTTAAATTTAAGACGAGTAGCAATCTTCTGATCAAAAATTTAAGCTTTTACAAAGAATGAAAGTGTAGCAATAATCCAGCAATCATGCCTAATTTCTCATCAGGAAGTGAGGCTTTTTCTTAATTAAAGGGTGTAACCTCTAATTCTGAGCTCTTATGAAGTTACCTATTGGATAATATCGTTGCTCTGATGATGTAAGAGCATACGTCAATGTCCATGTGAGCCCTGTTGTCCATGCAAGTCCATGCTCTCCACAGCTCAAGTAGAAATAGAGATACATCCTTATCTCATACGAACGATGACATGTAATTGGTGCATGGTCAAAGGTTCTTATGATGAAGAATTTTCCAGAAAAATTTGTGAATTTGTGTAGTGATAACTTTTGGAGCATTTTATTTGCAGTTTAATCTTCTGTCTCTGAAAATTTCAAGGAATTTTACGCATAACTTTCCTTACAAATAAACATCGTACAGTTTGTGAAACAAGCGTTTTCTGGTTAAATGATGCAAAGCTCCTACTTCTATGTTTGCCTACTCTCATTTGGTTTACTAGTTAGATACTTTCTATTTTGTTTCGTTATGCTCAAAGTCAATACTTGAAACGATGCTCTTAAATATTTCAAAAATGATCAAAAGTTTCTAAGCTGATGAGCTAATGTGTTTGAAACTGCTCGAATACGTTTCTTTTAAAACTCAGTTTTCCACTGTATGCCTTTCCCTTCACTGACAGTTGTTTATCCAAATACCCAAAATGAATCCTAGTGAGGGAATCATCTTTTGCTCTTATTTTCATCAAACATGTTTGTAAAAAACTGGTCTAGCAAACAAGAGCTGAGTTCTTTTTGATCTCTGATAAGTGATAACCCTATAGTCAAGTCACAGTTTTATGCATTTGAAACGGTCATTTTGACTAAACTTTCTCAATCTTCAAATTCTTGAGGGCTCATAAAGCTTCCTCCCCTTTCAATTTCCTGTTTAAATCAATAAACGTCTCTTATTCCTCTCAGTAGAAATAAAATATCATAAAAATATATCAAAATATGAATTCATATTTCTCTTGATTCATTAATTTTGTGGAGTCATTATAAATTAGGTACAGCAATTAACGAAAATTGTGTCATGCAAGTGTGGCCAAAATGTAAATTCTATTTTCAAATGTTAAACCAGGATTTGCTGTGGATGATTGAGAGCTTATTTGAACGTTTAATTATTGAGATGTAGAAGGGTTTCAGAAAGTGGAGGAAGCTCCTTCATTTTAGTTTATATGTAGCCAAGATTTTTTTTTTTTAAATTATATGCCTGTGCATATCCATATCCTTCTTTGAAAAGTAGAATCATAACAACCTGTCTGGTTGGCAATCAATAGTATCCATTGCTCAAAATAAATCATAACATTACAAGATTATTTTGCTAATAGTTGCTTTTTTACGTGAGGGTATGTCCACCCAGAGAATTGAAATTAGGAAACAGACCATTTAGTTTATTATACACTACACTTTTTTTTCTTCTTTTTTTTTGCACTGACAGCCAATAAAATCTATCGATGTAAATGGTTTGAGGCTTCATTTTCTTCTTCCTAAAACCAGTATGAAGTAACATGATACGATTCTTAAACAGTTTTGTACTTACAGCAAGTACATTATTCATTTGTACCGTATAGGTATCGTTGACTATGGATATTGAATTTTAAGTGAAGTCATATCCAATCAATTCTTGTATATTTAGTAAATATCTACTGTAATGTTACCAAATTGATGCCAAGTTAATGACTGTAAATTTGTGTAGATTTATTTTTGAGTTTTGAAATATTTTGAGTTATTATCATTCTTGTGTGAGTTAATAAAAATTGAACAAGACATCGGTTTTATTTTTTTTCCCTCAAAAAATGATTACTTTCTACGCTTTGAAAGGGTTCATTGATCAAATGAACTTCATTTTGCAATCAGGATTCTAGCTTCGATTGGAAACAACGTATGCAACGTTAGTTTACTTATGCACACAAGTGTTCTTAGGGATGAGCCAAAAATTTAATGGAAAATTTGCAGATGTCTTAAATTTTGTGATTCTCATCTTTAAAATGATACTACTAGGAAAACTGAGTACGAGAGTATCCTTGGTTTCTAAATTGGACAATTATTGGAGGAAATATGACAAAATAACCTATTGTGCTAAAATACATTTGTTTAAATGGAAAATGCCGCCAAATGACGTCATAAGGCGGCCCATTTTCTCACTTTTAAATCCCTTTTTCTCCAATTTCCCGTGTCAGAAAATTTTTTTGAAAAATACTGCAAACTCAACTCATGAAGCACTCTCAGACGAAACAATACAATTTTTGTGCGCAAATTCTCCATTCCGAATAGCAAAATGTAGTCCAAATGATCACGCCATTTCTTTGCTGAGCAACGAGGGAGCCTACACGTAAAAATTGCTTCACTTACATGCTTTTTTTTAAAAAAATTATCTACACAAATATCTAAACGAAGAGAAGAAAATTATTTGGTTTTATTTAATGTTTTATAATTGAAATGACAATAATTCCAACAAACTTTACAAATTCAAAATCATAAGTTGAAAACCGCTAACGCCGCAAGATTGAATAATCACATCCAACACAATGCGGCCGGCCGGCACGGGGCCCGACACGCATAGTAGCGCCTTACAAGACCTCAGGAGACTTCATGCATTGCGCGTAGAGCACGGTGCGCGCGACGGGTGGTATAGCGCCTTGCAAGTTTGCAGGATACTTCATGCATTGCGTGTATACCACGGTGCGCGCTCAAGTCGTATTTTCTTGGTGTTGCTTGAACCTACCCTGGTGTACACAATTTCCGGACAATGCACACCGCGAGCTTGCAATCCTAGGATGTGTCGTAGAGATTTTGCAATCCTGTAAGTTTTCCGGTGAAAATATATTTTGCGAGTGGACATTTTTCAAGTTGGAATGCTGTTACGTTCTATCGTCCGGAATACGCCGAACTTAGCTAACTTCCAGGGAGAGGAAGTGAACATGTTTTTTTTATCACAAATGCGAAAACATTTCCAGGGAGATATTCTTGGTATCACATTCACACAAAAATGAACTCTGGCAATCTAACCTAACCTAACTTCGGCAACTTGCCCTTTGTTCACCTGCTTTTTACCCTTTTATTAAATCGATGACCAAAGTGCATAACCACGTATCTCCGTTTGCAACGTTGCAGACTTTCTATCATCTTTTCTTTTCTTGGGACCACCAGAGTCAAAGCGATTGCTTGAAAATTTCCCTAATTTGTCTTTTGCGTCAGTAAAATGCGTCAGTAAAAGTTTCAAGCTAATTAGTTGGCTCGTTTGTCTTCGAAAAAATACAGCATGAGCGGACATTTTGAAACACCGCAAAGGAGATACGTCGTTTCGCTCGTTGGCAATTGAAATACGTCTCTATTCCTCCGTCGTCCTTCTATTTTCTCTTTCCTTTCACTTTTCTGTTTAGTCTAATTAACTCCATCGGGGAGTATTTTTTTCGAATTCTTAAATGAAAATATGCAGGCACGCTAAGGCCATAGATTTTAATCTCTCATTCCGTATTAAAGAACTCCGGTACTGATTTCTATCCATATGATCTCGATTAATCGTAGGGTAAAGAAAACTTATTTACACTTTTTTATGGTAACAAAGTTATTTTATTAACATGAAAAGAAATCTTAAATCTGACATTAGTGAGGCAGTACATTAAAAAAGATCACACAATACGACACTTAAAGTCAACAACAAATGCTTTATTCATTTCAAAAATCCTGAAGTTCTCTAAACGGTAAAATAATGATAATCCAAAAAAATAAATAAATGAATTTAAAAAAAAACAACCTTCAAATAACTGATGAAGTTTGATATCAGCATAATGTTTCATTCAAAATGGTCATTGATAAGAAAAATCCAGCTGTCTTTTAGACACGGAAGCTGTTAATTGAAGGAATTAATGAAATCTCTGATTTTCGCAAAGGCTCCATCATCGATTCTTCGAATTAATACAACGAATAAGTTTATGGGCGCCCGGATTGCGAATAAGTAGAAGCCTAAAAGAGATATTATTTTTAATTTGTCAATAAATAATTTCACCACAAAGTTTTTTTCCCTTCCCTTCTCAAGATAAGCATTTTGACTTTTTTTACCCCATTCCTACTCATCAGAGGGGAACATATTTACGGGGCTCGCGACAGACTGCGCTTTAGGACCCAAAAATCCTCAATCCGTCCAAGTAAAACCTTGTTACCTTAGAATTTGACGTCAAATAGTTCCCTTTCCACATATCCCTCGATCTCGTCTAGTATCAAACCGGTTTTAAATGTACGCTTGTACTTAATTTGCAGTTTGCTTGCCTACCTACAAAAGATTTGGACGCAAGAATGAGAGTGAAAACGGGGAGAGGGAGTGCAGTAGGTGTAAAAACTTTCGAGTTAAATGCGGAGGGGGCAGGGCCGGATTTACCAATAAGCTACATAGGCTATAGCCTAGGGCGCAAAATTCTGAGGGGCGCACAATTTTTGAAAATGTATTCAAAAACGTATTTCCCAAAACCAACATGCGAACGTAAACGTACCTCAAAACTGTTTAAAATTGTGCTTTTTAAAGGTGAATTTGAACATTTTCCGGACACTTAACATCCTCCTTCTGATCTGGAGGGGAGGAGCGCCCCCCCCCCCCCCCCCCCCCACGAGAGCGCCTACTTTTAGGGGCGCCACCCTTAGTTTAGCCTAGGCGCTAAAAATGTAAATCCGGCCCTGGGAGGGGGGTGGGGTCAAATTGGTGATAAAATGTTAGAACTTGAGATCGACGAGTTTGCGTGATTCCACGGAATACGATTTGCCATGATGATTCATCGTATATGTGACCTTTAATGTTAGCTATGAAGCAGCTGTAAAATTTAACAGGTTAAAAACTCATTTAAGGAAGTGGTCTATAATTGTTAAGGATCATTTGCCACTTTAGTTAAGAATAAGTGTGTAATTCTCGTCAATTTTGCTCAATGGCTTTGATACCAATACAGAAATCACCAACGTTTCTGACTTTGCATGTAAAAAACGTACTAGCTTATTGAATAGCCCGCGTAGTTCTTATCAGCGGATTTTAATTCAGGAAAAGGTGTTTTAATAATAGACTACTTAAAACTAGGAAGGAACTGTGCACTAGGGTGCAAGCGGCATTGCGCTCTTCGACTAAAGTGTACAGTAAGTCTTCTCTCATTTGCTCTGAGTCGATTTTTAAATGGTGAGGCTTATCCGACTCAGTGTTGTTGCTAGCCGTTCCTCCAGTTGTTTCGTTCACTAACACACGATCCCCATCATCGGGCTTCACCAAACCGATGCCATTATCTAATTTTCCTAAAATTAAAAAGTGATCAACAAATATTTAGTCGAGGATAGATAATTTGAAGAAGCGCGACATATTTTCAAGATTTCGCTGTACAATGTAACTTTATCGTGCGGTCGGAACTAAGGGAAGAAGGCTGGAGAGGGTGCTCTCCTCTGATTGTGAAATCCTAGATTCCCTCCAAGGGGCCGTCCTTTAATTAGACGTATTTTTTTCAAACGGAACTAAGCGCCATAGGGAGGAAGGTAGAGGGGGGCTTGGATTGGCGGCGGAACCGGGCGTCGGCCTCATTCCGTCCTATACTCGCAATGCTTTTCCATGGCGCTCAGTTCCGTTTGACAGAACGCGCTATCTGGCATTCTAAATTCCACAAAAGGAACTCAAATTGGCGCTTAGTTCCATTTGACAGAAATACGTCCAATTAAGTAACGCACTTTCTCGGCATTTTTGACCCCCCTCTCCTACTTTCCCCTCGTTGTAACAATTTTGTGATGGAGGCCCCCATCATTTTAACACGTAAAAACAAAATGGCGTAAG